CCCCCCAACAAAATTCCCCTTTTTCTACAGGGTTAAGAGATGTTGTTTTAGTGAGTACGGTGGGTGTATTATGCATTACGAGAAGCAGTCGCAGTACTCTCATACACTCATAACTTAGAGCGTAAGTCTAGCTTTTGGATAAATAATAAATTGTCTGTCCACAAAGAATACAGCCATTGTCGAGGAAATCATGATTAAAAAAAACCCAACACCTCAAACAATTCCCTTTCCCGGAAGCTAATAATTCGACCTAGGGCACGGTAATGCTAAGCGTATACAGCATCGAACCACGCAGAGAAGACATAGCGAAAAATAATTTTATATTGAAGTGGGCACACCGTACTGCTCACCAAACTCGGGGTATATGAAAAAGTTCCAGTCACGCCTTGTATTGGGGGGCTGCTTTGTTATGCCGTCGAAATCAGAGAGCGGCGGTTTGTGTTCAGGAAGCTTCGATCCCCCCCCCTCCCCCCCCCTGCTTTGCTCGCCCTGCCTTTTGTTCCAGCATCGATGGAATAATAACTTCTTCGCCGGTACGTTCAAGGGACCTTAGTTTAGTGTCTAAGTCAGGAAGTCTCTATTTATTTGAATATCTGTTCGGGTGCTTTATCCTATTCAGCCCAATTTGGCCCTAACAGAAAAAGACGAAATAGCCAACCACCTAAGCGATATAACTGCCGATAGGGGCGTGAACATTAACACCCAACTCTCCACTGTTCGTGCCAATGCACAGTCAGTGGGGCTGTACCTTGTCTTTCTGAGTTTTGCCGATTTGCGAGCATCCAGTGGAGGTATCAAAAGGTAGAACAACTAAAGAAACATCAAAAGTAGGATTATATTGGGGTTTGCACCCCCCCCCCCCCCCCCCCCCCCCCCCCCGCCCTTGCACTTGAATACATATTTTCTAATAACAATCATGATTTCCAAATAGCAAAACAGCACTTCCAGTGATAGCGATGTGGTTAAAACTCGGTTTTGGCAATCAAATACACTAGTTTTGAATGCCATAGTTTTGTGTAACCTGCACGGCTGTGGACCACTTTTCTATTCTTTGCACGAGTTCTCTCTCTCTCTCTGTCTCTCTGTCTCTCTCTCTCTCTCTCTCTTTCGTTCTCTCTCTTTCTCTCTTTTCCTGAAACTGTCTGTCTGTCTGTCTGTCTGCCTGCCTGTGTCTCCCTCCTCTCTCTCTCTCTCTCTCTCTCTCTCTCTCTCTCTCTCTCTTTATTTCTCTCTCTCTCTCTCTCTCTCTCTCTCTCTCTCTCTTTCTCTCTCTCTTTCTCTCTCAATCCCATTTTTTTTCATCGGCTGCTGTTAAGAAAAAAGGCAAGTCCTGAGCAATTTCCTTCTTTCCCCAAACCGCCCCAAACCCAACCAAACATTGAAGTTAAATAAAACACAATTCAAAGGCTACGGCAAAGTTATTTTTCAGGCAAAAGTTAAAAGTATAACCTCCACACTATTGCCCATATAGACAAATACAGCCAGCCGTTTACTGTTCCCTTAATAAAGACATAACACCAAACCCACAGTGACCACCACAGTGACCTTTTGTCTGTGGACTTTCAACACTTTTCTCCGCACGTCATTCTGCGAGCTCTATTTGACCAAAATCGCTGGCTGGGATGAGGAGTAAACTCTAGATCGGGTGAAAACACCGAAAACAGCAGATGTGTGGGTACTCAATTTCACGTCAAGCGGTCTTTCGCCTCTCTTCAGTCGAAGTAGGCTACCACCACCCGAGATGAGTTTCTTGTTCAATCAGTGCGAGCAGAGAGAGGTACTTTCATAGTGGTGGGGTGACGACTTGCGATAATATCTTCAAGAATACGTGGCGTGAACTCAAGTATTATCCAGATGTTAACTGGGTAAAAATTCTTTCTTCTGGAGAGGTGTCATCTCTGACTCTAGAGGTTGACGTGTAATGACCCTCCATTTTTCATGGTCGCGAGCTGCAGTTGCACATTCTGCTATGCCCAGACCAGTCTATATTTTAACGTTGTCCATCCATGTTATTCTTTGTCTACCCCCTGGCTCTCCTGCTTCACATCCTCCCTTCAAGTAACTCTTTCACAATGGTCTGGTGTCGTTTTAAGTGACAAAAGTATTGCAATTTTCTACGTTTTATTTGGTTAAGCAGAGTTTGTCTCGTAAGGAAAATCTGACACACTTCGTTCTTCTTCTTTTTTCTTTTTTTAAATTTCTAGCTAATTCTGGCCATTCTGCGTGGCATCACATCTCGAAAGCAGCTATTGTGTTTCCTACTTTCTTTGTTAAAGTCCACGTCTCAGCGCCATATGTAGGAATATAGGGAAGATGTAGCATTCCATCATTTCTTTTCCTAAATGTAGAGATAAATGCCAGGATGTAAATAGTTTGTGCATTTGGATGAATTCTGTTTTTGCTTTTGCTGCTCTTATATACTTAATATCTTCAAGGATACGTGGCGTGAACTCATTTTATCAAGATGTTCACTGGGTAAAAATAAGAACGCTTAAACAGGGTTCTTTACACAGGTCTTCGTCTGTACTTGGACAATAACATTTAACACCCTACTGGAGACAGCAGAGTGTGCAGTTTCTCTGTCAGCACGTCTGAGGTATGATAAAAAAAAATATATAACAAGAATGAGATTCGAACAGCACATCTTTGAGGGCAAGGCTATGCTCACCACCGGAGCAGATGTTGATATGTCGCTACTCTAAAATTATTACAAAGTTCTATCTGCTCAGTGCATAGTTTTGACAAAGTTGACATTAAAAAATTACTTTTCACAACATGTCAAGCTTTTTCGAATGCAATTCTTAGAATATCTTGATAGAGACTCTGAATAATCTTAAATTTTGACAGAGCAGATAGAACACCTTGTTTCTGACCTCATGGTCCTCAAAACGACCAAAAACGCCATATCATAGAACTTGGTAATTTTAAGGTAGCGATAAGCAGTTAGCAAGCATCCTGTTGTGGGTTACTCGGTTTACTACTTATTTTACTCTCTTCTGCTATGATCTGTCTGTTCTCCGGAAGTGTGCACAAACATATGGTGTTCATAAAACCCCAAAAATTTTATTTATTCACGTGACAACAGACCATTAAGACGATCAACTCTTTTCTCAATATTGAAAACCTTTAGCTTAGTTTGTTCCTTTGTCTGAAATGAAATAAACTATTATTTAAAAATAATGTATCTTTTGAAAACCATACCTACCCTTCCTCACACACGTGCGCACGCACGCACACACACATACACACACACACACACACACACACACACACACACACACACACACACACACACACACACACACCATCACCACCACCCACCCACCCACATTGTGTGAGTGTATGTGTGTGTGTGTATGTGTGTGTGTGTGTGTGTGTGTGTGTGTGTGTGTGTGTGTGTGTGTGTTCAAGTTAGTGGACTTGCGTGAAAATCCAGAGAGTGTGTGTCATTAAGCGTGTAGATGTATGTACAATGTATTTGAGAGCATTTCTGCAAGCGGGCACGCGTGTGTGGCAGCTAAATCTGAAATCAGGAAAACTACTAACGCCCTCACCGTTTATAGTTATAGATCTATTTCTAGCAGAGCACAAAATGCCAGCCAGGTCTTTGCGAGTCCATTTCTACAGTTATGTCGAGGTGAATGGAGGCTGAAATTGTGTTGGCATGGGTCCAAGAATGAATCAGCTAAACAATGCTAAGAGTCACAGTTCCACATACATTTAAAAAAAACCCTCGATTTCTGCTCTGTGTTAAACCGTGAATCCTTATCCTCATGGCGGCTACATGGGCTGTTGGCATGCGGTCGCATCCAAGACAGAGAGCACGGGACATTTCTTCAAATTAAACCAGCTAGGCAGGAACTTCAATTGGCTCCGTTCCAGATAAAACAACTGCAAGCGTCTAGATAAGAAGAATGTGTTATAGTGGAAAAAAACTTCGATCCCAAACCAGTTTTTCGTTTTTAAGATACTCATTTAATCTAAGAAAGGCTTTTTTTACAATGAATGTTAGTTAGGGTAACGTCACTGGCACTGTTCAAAGCACTTAATTTTGTTTTGTGTTTGTGAGGTGTTTTTAAAAGAAGTTTATCTCTACTTCTGTAAAATGTCATCCTTCTAGTCACTGCTCTGCGTTGCTCGAGACTCTTAGGTTAAGTTCTCTCTCGGTTGCATTTACATGTTCATTCTAGTTAGATGGCAACAGCATCAAACTTACGATGAAGATGATGTCTTTCTGCAATGACTCCTAAGTAAAGGCCACAGCTATGGAAATCGAGGTAACGCTGGCTGTTGTTCGCAGTTGCTTATGATTTTGAACAGTCTTTAGAAATTTCAACCTGAGTCTCATCTTCTTTTACCGTGATTATGTAGTGGTGCAACAGGTGTTGTGCATTTAAAACAGTCTTTTTGAATACGCCAAACATAATAAAAAAGAAGAGACTCATGGCATTTGCCAAGCTTGTTCTCTTATCACGTATTCAAGATACGCACGGAACCATAGCATTCTGCGTTATCTCATACAACAGGCCTATATTCAAACCGAATGTGTTTCTCGTGTCCTCCTGTTTGGTGTAGCTACTGCACATGTATTAGGTGAGTAACGTTTCAATTGTTCGCTTCTTTTGGACTTGCTGTTTCGAACGACATTTCAGATAAGTAGCTTTGACATATCAATAATAATGAATTAAGCACAGCTATTGAGGTTTTTGATAATAAACGGTCTCGTCTTAACAGGAACCAGCCAAACGGTCTCGTCTTAACAGGAACCAGCCAAACGGTCTCGTCTTAACAATAACCAGCCAAAACGATGCTTTTCAGACGGTTTTGACGTTTGCATTACCATTGATTTATGAGGTCTCGACAACTGCCATACGAAGTTTAACGGGTGACTGGCTGCTGTTGGAATCTTTCCAAGCTTGATTTCACCCACTACGTTATTCTTCCACTTCAGAGCTCATACCAGATCTACCTCCCTCCTCCCCTATCTCCTGTTCAAAATTGTTTCTAAAACAAAACCCTGGAAGCACATGGGAAATATGCCTGGTTTTAGACTACTACCCTTCATTTGCACTACGTGTCGCTAAAAGAAAATGTGCTCTCTTCATAATCTGAAGTTTATTCACCCAGTCCTTAATCGTGAAAATCGACTCACAGAATTAATCTTGTATCTTAATAGACAGAAACGTAGGTCATGTCTGGCCGACAGTTGGGTTCTACGTACTGTTTTTTTCGGACGGAATTTGTAGTTCATGAACAACGTCAAGGTCAATTTTGAGCTTTCGCAATTGGGCCTCTATTAAAGAACAAGTCTAACAAGAACATACTTTCCAGCAGGCTGAGAATATTTTGGCAGCAAGTCGAATTTGAACTCCAAATTTCTGACTTAAATCGAAACCAACTGCACCTTAGCAGTTTACTATAGTCTCGTTGAGCGACAGTTGCTAAGGCCATCTGTTTAGTGCAACATTTTTTAAAACCCAAAAGGCGCCTTCGTAGAACATCTGTCTTCTCCCTCGTCAACCATAGCATCTTTCATTGCAAAGTTGTTGTAAGTCTTTGGAGCAGACATAGAGACAATAAGGTCGTTTGGTGGTTGGCTGTTTCGATGTGTCAAGACCAGTCTTAGCTACGTGGGACGTATATCAAGAGAAGAGTGGAAACACTTGGTGTATTATTTTTCTCACCATGGAATCAAAATGACGCCTTTACTTGCAGGGTGTGACCATTACACCACAGAGGCCATGTCCCATTTACAAACAAACTTCCTCAATTTGGACACTAGATAAGTTTGGACAGACCCCTAATGCACAGGATACATTTTAGGAACAGCATGAACGACTTTACCTCTGGTAATATCAGTCTCAGTACGAATAAAACAGAGAATTTGATATGTTATTGAAACGAACTAATCTATAGCATTTGAACCCCGAGCAGTCTGCATTACACAGGAATCTTACTAATTTGAGCTAAAAATTCGGCTTCATCTTTCCATCGTTGTACTGGGTTTAGGAAAAGGGATGACGTACCTCTGTTGATGGTTTACACTGTCGATGAAAAAGAAAACCTCGATAAACAGTCGCTCCGCTTTGAGCCAATTTACTGATGAGACTTTGGCCAATGTGTCCTTCAACATTCTGCGGCTAACTTTGAATCCTGAAGTTGTTGATCCAACTGCACGAGCATGGAATTGAGCCACTCATCATTCCACGGCTAATACTAGCGGATAGTCAGTTATAATGATGGTAAAATTCAGTCTTGAATAAGAGAGCTTGCGTGGCAGCGCTCTTTTGAGAGTATTTTTTTGTTGTTCAGGGAATCAATCTTTTCGCAGGCGAAAACTTACTTGCCGCACTGTTGGTGACAAAATGTTTCCACAACCCGTTGCGTCAGTTGAGATTGCGTGAAACAAGACCGCCAAAGCGCACCTTGCCAAATCTGCGTGGGTGTCCAGAGTCGGGCTGTCCAGTTGTGGCATGCGTAGTTCAATCGATGTGGCAAACGTCCGGGGTGGGCATAGAGCACAGTTTGGTATCGTGCTCGTCCGAGATGGGGGCATCTACCGTTCGAGTCTCACACAATGCATTGTTGATTTGGGTTGTTATTGGCGTTTTATTCTAGTTTCCAAACCACTTGAGTAGGTCCAAGATGAGATGAGTGTAAAAGCTGCCTGCTCTTCTTCCTATTCAGACTAACAGTATTGTGAGCAACGTCACACCCGCATATCATACCGCACAAGTTAAAGGCAAGTAGAGAAATGATGAGGTTGTCAGAGTTGGTGAGAGACTTGTTTTGGAATAAAACTAGTTCAGTAGTAGGCGAGGGGGGGGGACTTCACAGACAGAGAGGCTCATAAAATACCTAGTGAGGTCATCAGCTTCGTTCTACACGCTGTGAAACGTCGATATCATTTTTTTTAAAAGAATATCTCTACGAAGTTAAATGTCTGAAATCAAATGTCATTTCCGGTGAAGGCATTATTAAGATTAATAACAGACTGAACTAAATCAATAATGGATAAATCTAATCGTTTTTATGACGGGCGTATCGGTGTGAGTTTCATTATCTAAATAGATTAAAAAATAAGATCATATAACACCAATAAGATGTCTTTATTTTCATTTCGTATTTAAAAGCGCAGTGAACAGAAAATTATTCAAAAAATATTCTACCCTAGAAGAATCAGAAGAGCCACAGCTTTGTTAAAAAGTCATAGCCTTCCATTACATGACAATCGTTATCGGTGGAAATTAATAGATTTGCCTTTATATGAGTGACGTAACTCAGGAAATTGAGAAAATTGATTTCACTTTACCCCCCCCCCCCAACTTTACCTTGATTCGACTCAGTGACAGAAATAAGTAATGCTTGACTCATATGATAAGAGGTATGTGTACAACCTACACTATTTCATTATGGAAACTTTATTTAACAACACAACACGAATCTAAAATGTTGTTGATATGCTATGTGTGTCATTTATGATTGTCTTGTTGCCATGGACGTCTCTTCTGTAACATATGTGTTTTATGTGATGTGAATAAACACTAACTTACTTACTTACTTACTACCCTCCTAGCCTCTTCCAGGACTGAACATTTACTTTGAACTAAAAACTAAAGTCTCGCATAGGCAAAACGCCAAAAATAGCTTTCTTATACAAAAATCTACTTAGTCTTACAAAAACACCGCATCAATACCTGAGCTAGAAAGACAAATTCTGCACCGAGATATAGTCACGCGCGAGAAGGAACAGAGATGAAGATAAAAGCGTAGCAAAAAAAATATATATTAAAATAATGTATAAGGAAACTCAGGGATAGGCTTCAATGAGTCAATGAGTCCACAAATGAACATTCTTGATTTGCTTCATACACTTGTGAGAGTTCAGGCATCCCTTCCCCCCCCCCCCCTCTCAGTCTCTCTCTCTCTCTCTCTCTCTCTCTCTCTCTCTCTCTCTCTCTCTCTCTCTCTCACTCTATAATCTATCTATCTATCTATCTATCTATCTATCTATCTATCTATCTATCTATCTATCTATCTATCTATCTATCTATCTATCTATCTATCTATCTATCTCTCTGTGTGTCTCTCTCTCTTTCTCTCTGTTTCTCTCTCTTATTCTCTCTCTCCTCTCCCTTTCTCTTCCCCCTCTCTCTTTCTTTCTGTCTCTCACCCTTTCTTTCTCTCTTTCACACACATACACATAAAACACATAACACACGCACACACACAGACACACACACACACACATACACACACATACAACACACAACACCCAACACACACACAACACAAGCATACACACGGGACACAACACAAACATAAACACACACATACACTCCCGCACACACACACAGCACGCACACTAGCACACACACATACACGTACAGCACAAGCACAAACACAAACACACACACGCACACACACACTCACACACCTACACACACGGACACACAACACACACACACACACACACACACACACACACAAACACTAACAACACCCATACACACGCACACACGCACACACAACACACACACACACAAACAACACACATACACACACACACACATACTCGCAAACACACACACTCATACATAAACAAATGCACAACATGCGACAAAGCTGTGCCCTGTTTGAAAGGAGGAGAGAGTAGATAGATATAGCGACATAAACTAAGTACCGTACGTCTACTCACCGAGGAGCGTTCCCAAGAAAAGGAAGACTGTGACCACTATATCCATAGTCCTCAATGAAACAATCAGGCGATTTCATCCGACTGAAGCTTTCTGTAGCACACTAGAGATAGGTTAACATTAACCCGCTCTTCAATTCCGGGTTAGGCTGACTGTTTTCCTTGTAAATCCGTACTATCTGGTGGAATGTTCAGATGGTTATCACGCAGAATAATTTATCAAACTTGGATGCTTTTACTCTTGTAAACACAATGTCGAATTATTAAAACCCCAACACTCGGTTGAACAAAAAACACTTGAAATCTTCAATAGTATTAAAAACCAAACCAAAACAGCTCAACAAAATATTAGACTCTAAATGGGAGGCTCTAACACACAGCAGTATTAATACTTTGAAAAAGTAGAAGACGTGAAAGGAAATGGTTATGTCATTCGAAAAGTTTTCTACCGTCTGAAGCCCTCACTATAATAGTCGCTAGCACTCATCCGTTCCGTTTCGTGCAATGAATTTGGGAAAAACGTTAAAAGTCGTCTGATGGGAGCGGCGGCAATTCCTAGTCGCTGTTGTAGTTCCGACTCCCGAGTTTTGTCCGCACCTCTGTGGCAGACGTGAAGGATGATCGGTGAAAGAGTTACCGCCCGCTATCACGGCAGACGGGGTTATTGCCTGACTGCGGAGTACGACAGCGTTGGCGAAGCGATGTTTCGATCTGTGACCGACCCGATGTTATCCTCATCTGCGAACAAAGTTTGGAATTGTATCATTTAACATAAATATTTGCGAATGGATACAGAACTCAAATGGTTTCCTCTGATGTGTTCAACTGTTTAGTCACTCTCCATAACGTTCAATACAAAGGCATATTGTGGAGGGCAATGCAAATATTGCGTGACTGTCATGTTTTGTTATCCTGAACTATTTAAAAGCACCACAAAAACATCAGTTTATTTTGCAAATATCGACCCTCATTACATGGCTCTGTGGTTATTGAAAGACTTTCTAACGCTCTTTTCCAAAGTTACGTTATTTCTTTTTAATTGAAGCAATGTCATTTTTAATTATGTTACATTTTTTTTCTTCAGCATCTGGCAAGCCTTCTCACCAAAGTAACCTTAAAAATATTAAAGCACTAGAAAAACACAAATAGAAAAGCTAATGAAAACAAGAAACCTTAAGAACTAAACAAAATTTACAACAACAACAAAAGCGAACACCCCTCTACCCTCCCCCAAAAGAAAGGCAACCAAAGGCAACAAAATTAAAGCAAACAAAAACCGAAGGAAAACAAAACACAAAGAAAACGCTCTCAATAAAAATGCTATATATGATAACAAAAACTACTCGTACTACAAAACAAATGACAATGATGATAATGATGATGATGATGATGATGATGATGATGATGATGATGATGATGATGATGAT